TACACTACCTACCCTGGTTTAGACTTGTGATGTATGGGAAATTTGCCTTTAATTTGAACATATCTTCATTAGGGTGGAATAATAACGATTCGCTGTTGGAAGACTTCCAAGATTTTTGATGGAAGCCCCAACTCTAAGGAGTGTTGTAAAATTAGGAGCATTAGGTGCAATGAGCAAACTATGGACAAATAATATATTATGTAAAAAATAAAAATTTCCACCCCAGCTAAACCACTGATCTAAACTCTAGAACCCTCCAAAGTCCCACAAGTCCTAAGATTCAGCACTAAGGGGATTATTGATGACCTTAAAAACCAGAAATTTCACTTGAATATTAGTTGCAGGGACAGATACTACTATGATGCAGAGGGCATTTGAACGATGAAGTAGAAAGAAATGGGTGAAAAAAATTCATTCAAATAGTTTGTCTGTGAATGACAGAAAGATATGTAATAGCAGCAATAGATGATGAGAAATAAAGGCTTTTCCCCCCAAATGATTTTGATGGTGGTTACCTGTATATGTGTTAGAAGGGGGGTTAGTGGGTGGGTGAGAAGAGATTAAAGAATTTATGTGCATATATGCATAGCCCATAGACACACACAATAGTGTGGTGAAGGCCTGGAGTGGGGGTGGAGTGTTGGGGTTGGGGTGGACAGGTGCGGGCTAGAAAGGGTCAATGGGGGGAAAGGGGATATATGTAATATTGTCAATAATAAATTAAAAATCTCTCTATATTAAAGCCTAAGCGACCCTCATGACCAGTCACTATGACACGTACTACCAGGCGGCAGATGCTCAACACAGGAGCTGCCCCCTGGTGGTCAGTGTGCTCCCACAGCCAACCTCCCATGGTTCTTACCCCCGGCCAGTGGGCCGAATCGGCCCGATCAGGACTGGGTGAGATGGCCCCAATCACCAGCTAGGCTGAAGGACCCCACCCATGCACGAATTCGTGCATTGAGCCTCTAGTAAATCAATAAAATGGAAGCGCATGGACAAGAACCAGCAAACAGAACAAGTTATAGATGAAAAAGAGGCTCAGGAATAGAATGAAGTTCTACAAGAGGCAAAATAGGGCCCTTTTGTTCCATTGCAGCAACAGGAAGGAAGGAAGTAGTGGGTGCAGGTAAGTTTGTAGATGGAGTGCAGGATGCTGAGAGAGTTCCTGTTTTCTACCTTGTATTTACTCTGTGAAGGCATCTACTCAGCAAAATGAGGGAGGAGATGTATAAGGAGTAAGTACTGACATAGTCATTGTGGCGTATGGGAAAGAGAGCAGACTCAAAGCACACAGAACAAAGCAATGCAATGCACTGGATGAATAAGTGAGGGAAGGACGGAAGGTGGACTTTTTCACTTTTAAAGCAGACACCGACTGGTGACACGGATTTCAATGGGTACTAATCATGAAGTGCTTTAGAGATTGAAACAAGACAGTTATTTTCATCATATTTTATATAAAATAGACATTTACATAAATTTTATTTTGGAAAGACCTAGGCAAAGTGTACATAATCAGACTTACATGGGCGATATATTCCTAACTGGCACAGCAAACATAACAAAAATGTATATTTATATACAACTGATCAAAGTAGGAAATAAAAGCATTATGAACAAAGAACATGACACAAGTCATTTTCCCCTGAAAAAAGGAGGGATTGGTGTGAGTTACAGCAAGTCAAATGATAGCCACATTATAAAAGCAAGCCATGGCTTCTACAGATATTTTAATTTCTGAGGAGGAAATTTTAAAACTTTTTTCCCCAGAAACATAATGAAATCACTAATTTTTATGTGTCCAGGATGTAAAATAAGAGTAGGTTTCTCTGCCATGGTAAAGCACTTGGGCAGTCCAATCACTTTCAGGGTTGTGTGTGTATGTGTTCTGTTGTGGTGGTTATCTTAAGCATTTCTAAAACAAAGGGCAACACTATCAGTTACGTCTTCAGATGTAGAGGGCTTTCAATCTGTCAGGAGACTCATAGAGCTTGATAGTTTCTTAGAACTAACCAGTTCTTTAATGTGTGAGAAACAATGACAGAGACACTGGTAACCTGCCCAGGGTGAGGCGGCTCCTCGGTGGCAGAGGAGGGACCAGGAACCCAGACCTCTGGACTCCTGACTTGGTGCATCCCCTTACGGACCAGCAAGACGGCCTCAGGAGGACATTATGCGCATTGGAGACTTCCAAATGTGGTACACATGTTCACCACAGGCACCACCAAGAATGGGAAGAAACTTCTGGATTTCTGGATATAAGCAGCTGTTTCCAGTTTGGGGTAAATGGTGATCTAAACTTGCCAATTAATAATGATTGTATATTGTGATAGGTGCTAATTTTATGAGTTACATACCCTAAGGTTTTAATTGCAAGGACCCTTGGTAATAATAATGGAACATTTTATACAAGACAATGGATAGATAGGAATACCATCAATTCTATTGTGCCATTTTCTTGATTGATATTAAACCATACCTTTGATTGCAGTTATTTTACTTCTTCTCTTTAAGTTACATGGTTACTAAAAAATAATGAAAAAGTGCTATTGTTGGAAGAAGTGTTTAACATATTGTTCTTTTACATAAAAAACGTTAAGAATAATAAAAAAGTTATAATATTTCCCTATATATTTTTTCTATCTTTCAATGCTAAAAGATGGCACTTAGATAAGTTTTGCTATTACTGGGAAATATCAACATACAGTTTTAATCCAAGTAAATGTGATATGGAAATCAGGGTAAAAATAGAAAACAAACTACCTGTAACTATATTTCCTTTGATTATTGTTATTAATACTCTATAGATTTATTAATCTAAGGTACAAATCTATCACAAATCAGAGCAAAATTGTTGTTTTTTTTAAATTGATTCTAATGAGTACAATTAATAAATAATTAATAAAAGCTGACGTGTGTATAATTAACCCAAAGAAAGAGAATTATAGGATCTATGCATTAACTCTCTATCATGGACACCTTCTTTGAGTCATAAAAAAATATGAGTTTTATATACTCAGCATCTTGTCTGGGAACATGTAAATGGCAAGGCAATTCCTGTCCATCTTAGAATTAAGAACTCTGAACATATAGGTCAAATTATAGCTCAATTGCCATGAGGGTAAAAGCACCCCACCAACCGACCAGGTTTGTCAATCTTGGAATGGTAACCTCAACCAACCAATTGTGCCACCAATCAATCCTTCTTAAGAATTCTTTGGCTCATTTTAGTCTAGATTTAAAAGTTAAAACTGCAAAAGATTATAAACATCTCTTTTGTGAAATATTATAAACATCTCTTTTGTAAAATTCATAAACTCCCATTGAAGTTGTTAACCTGTGGTCTAACTACATAATAGAATCAGGAGTTTTTAAAATAAAATTTAATTTCCTCCAAGGTATTTAAATCTTTGGTTTAGTTCAACTATGTTACATCACTGAACCATGTCTTATGAATGCCATTAACAAACTGAAAACAACTGAATCATTTTAAAAATCCTGAATAATTTTGTAAAGCCATTCTCATGGCTCCTATGTCAAAGGCCTGCCACCTAATGGAGATTTTGAAGGCAAAGAGAATGGGTCCTGGGTAGGACTGATGGACAGGTTAGACAGATTGGCAGTAGGAGGGGGGAGATGTGTACACAAGGAACTCTAATGTAGCTAAGAAAAACAGCAAATGATGCTCAGAGTAACAGACACAAATGAAACTCTGATCATTGGGTCAAGTGTTCAGCCAGACTAAAGCAACTCCTTCGCCACTGTCTCCTACTCAGCACCTGCTACATATTTAAGGCCTTAGGACAAAATAAAATTGCAGGAATCCTTTTTAAAATTATTAAGAATTTCAATCAGGGAATTCAACCAAGCATGAGGTGCTCCTGGGCACAGGACCCTGAGGGACTGTGTAGACTGCACATCCATGAAGCAGGCTCTGCAATTCCATCGCAGAGGGGGGCTATCGACTCGCATGTCAATCACGCTTCCTGAAGGGCAACCTGGATGCACCTCCACGACTAGCCAGGGCACTCAGCTTTTATTTTGATAAGCATGGATTCCACATATTACTTCATGTTACAAGGACCAAACAAAAATAGTTACAAATATACTTAATATCCTTGAAAATATAATGTGATTTATTTTCTTATAGGCACCATTTCAACTATGAAAATTACTTCATTGGCCACATCTCAGTGAAGGTATTTACTCAGCACAAAATATCTGACGTAACAGTGCTAAATTTTAATGTGCACACAGAATGAGAAAGGGGGTGGGGGGAAGGGAGAGAGAGAGAAAAAACAAAAACAAAACAGACATGGAGTTGGGGGAGGGGAAAGCACCCAAAAGAAGACAGAAAAAGTCTCCTGAAGGCCATGTGACCCTTTGCCCCCCCTCCCGTATAATTGCTATTTCAATTAATCCAACAAATGTACTCTCATAGCTTTCTCAGCACTTCAGCAAGTAAGGCATAATTGCTTTTCAAAATTTGGGGCTCAGTCTTTCCCATTAACTTTCTAGGTGTGAGTTTTGGTTACAGATCATTCTAAAAAGTTGTGATCAATGCCCTAGATATTAGTTTTAGGTAGAGCTTCATATTATTAATTATAGGGGTAGGTATAATAACAGTATATTTTTCAAATGTAATATGGAACCTTTCTTGGCCTTAAGACTATAGAAATATATTTTTAGGAGAGGAATAAAAATACTTTAAATAAAATTTTGGAAAATTTTTTGATATACAACATTAAAAGAGTATTAAAAACAGAAGATCAGAATGGTAATATAAAAATTATTGGATTATTGATGTACACAAATATATGCTAATGCAATTTCTGTAATCCTTTGCATTTAAAATATTCCTTGTACCATCACTTTCTAAAGAAGTTTTTTCCCCCTTTATCTAGACCTTCCCTCTCCTTCCTGACTCCCACCAAAAAAAACTTACAGGGACACTGCTCTCTAATACTGGGGTGTAAAAGAGCAGAAGAGGTGTGTTGTTTTTTTTTTTTTTTCCATACCTGGCCTAAGCATGGGAAATATGTGTGCCTTCAAATTACTGTATCTCCATGGAACCTGGCTCAGCATCATGAATAGCACTGCTCAGAGGTTTTGTTTAATTTTTTACGATGATGACCAAATTAAAACCAGGTATTCCAATTTCAAAATATATACCAAATATCCTACTACCCCAAACCCTGAAGAGGCTGAGCCCCAATTTCGTTAACTTTAGCAAGTGAATAATCAGTGCAACTTTTTTGAGGCGCTGTTAAAACTTAACTGTTTGCAATTTAGATTTATAATGCTCGTATGGTCGGTTTTAAAAGCTGTTATTAAAACAACTATGTACAATGAAAAAAAAACCTGTGTGTGTACATATATTAAATATTTTATAAGTTATGAATAAATAACACTAAAAAGCAAATGTCAATTGATAAGTTCAACTTTGCCTTCCTTATTTTAAAATATAAATATATTTTTTTAAATTATAAATTTAGAATTTTTTCCTAGATTTTTTTGAGCATTCTCTATGAATTCTCCAAAATTACAAATACAGAACCAAGAATTCTGGGTTTACATCACTCGCATTCTAAGCACAGAATTCTCATTGAGCCTAGGAAGACAAAATAATAAAGCTCTCTTTCCATTTAGTCCATAGTCTATGAAGATTTCTGTGATATACTGTAAAGATTCCTAGGTGGTTAAATATATTTTTCAAAAAATAATGAATCTCATGATGTCTAAATGTTAAAATAATAAAGTAGAACATTTCTCTCAGTTAACATCTTTAATAATTCTTATGTAGAATATACTATTTTTTCTTCACCAAAATAATAATATATGTGGAGGCAGGGACATTTATGATTTTAAAAGTACTTTTGAAATCTTAGAGCAGAACTACTACTCTACTTGTAATAAATTTTAAATTTTCCATAAAGAATTAGGGGGACCAAGATTCTTGACTTTCCCCTAGGGGTAAGAATATCCATACATAATTCCAGAAGCTTCCTTTTTTATATGTTAGGCGATGGGAAAAAACTTGCATCAGAGTGGAATTTAATTTACTATTCTGTAGGGCTCTAGCAATATCTTTAGGGGAATATTAGAACAAGCTCACTTAACAACAGCCCCTTTCTCCACATATTCTGGAAGGTTCTACAAAAAATTATTTGATACTCCTTTCTGGTTCTGGAGAATTAAATGAGCCACCTCTTGGTAGAATTTCCCAAATGGCTTATCTCAGAGGAATTATCCTCTTTGAAATATCCCATTAAGAAGCAAAGATCTGACTTCATGGCATTTCTAATTTCTGCATTTCTGGGACATAAAAAGCTTAAACTAAGAGAGAGAACCAGATCTCTGGGTTGCAAAAGCAGAGAAATATATGGAGGGAAATTTGGAGTTAAAGCAACAACAACAACAAAAATCTGTAAAATGCTGTTGTATTCCTTCCCTCTCCGGCCTTCTTGCTCTTGCTTGCTCTTTTTTTTTATCTTTTTTTTTTTTTTTTTTCATGGAGATGCAAGTCCCACAGCACACGGTTACCAGCGAGTGTCTCCAAATGTGCCCCCTGGACTGGGAGTGAGAGGCAAGCTCCGTTGGTTGTCCTGCTGATGTGACAGCAAGGCCTCCATCACTTCTTCCTCCTCCAGAGGCACCAGCAACCGTCCCTCCAGACGACAGCCAATGCTGCTATGGTTGATCCTTTTCTCGAACTTCTTGTAATCGCTTTTCTAGGCGATCCAATTTGGCCAGATTTTCCTGCAGCAGTTTGCTGTCTGGAACCAACAGTAAGGCTCGCTCATAATAAGCTCTTGCAGACACATAGTTTCCCTGTTGAGAAAAAGAAAGAGAATAATCTGATCCCCCAGAACGTTCTGTAGGAGGATGGGGAGACTAGGAAACAGCCTTTCGCCCAGTTGAACATGAATGTCCCCACTAAGGAAACCTGTCTGCATGGGTAACTGTATCCTTATCTGCTGGTGCTTTTGGAGAATCCATTTGTTTTAAGTACCAATCCAGCTGGAGGCTGTGAAGGATAGAACTTACACCACAGGTTAAATGGCAGAAAACAGACTTTCAATTCTACTAATGCAGGGTATGAGGCTGGCATTTCATAGAGTTAGCACTATTCCTCTGTAATCAAATGGAGCCATGGCAGGAGGGGGGGGGGGGGGAG